TGTTTGTTTACCTGCCTCCCCATTCTAGAACTCTGAAAACAGGGACCTGAGGCTCTGCCTCAGTTTCATCTCTGGCCTGTCAAACACTGCCAGGCAACAGTAAGATATTACTAAAAATTTTCCCAGCTTCTGTGGTTGGATATAGGGAAATCTGAGCAGATTTATGCATTTTCTCATAAAGTCTTCATTATAACCATGGAATAACTGTTCTTGCTAAAAGCCACTCCAATTAATTTTTTTTAAGTTTTGCATTTTCTCTCTTCAGCCTTTTAATATATTTCAAATTGTTCGGTGCTCTTTAACTTTATTTAAATAATCATAAATGCCATGTAATCTTTTCCTCACACTGACTTTGGGTGCCCTGAAAAAATATATTTTAAAAAAAATGTTTTTCTCTTCATTTTTTCTCTTCATGTTTTTCTCAGGTCTCTCATCCTCCATACATTTTCTTTCCTAATTTTCTAACTAAATTTTTTTAGGAGTAAAGAAATTTTATGTTACCGTAAGGTGGTTCATTTTCCCTAACATTTTATTACAAAAACTTTCAAACATACAGTTAAGTTGAAAAAAATTGCACAGTGAACACCTATATATCTACTACCTAGATTCTACAGTTATTAATTTTGCTATATTTGTTTTTATCTCTCACTTTATCACATACTTATCCATCCATCAATCCATCTTTCTTTTGATGCATTTCAAAGTTGTTTACAAATATCAGCACACTCTATCCCTCCTCATGCATAATATTAACAGAGTTCAATTGTTGTTTGTGGTTTGTTTTTTTCTTAAGATAAATTACAGAAATAGTAACATGTATACATCTTAGGTATAACATTTGCTGAATTTTGACAAATGTTGAGCCCAAAACCCTATCAAGATAACAGAGTATTTTCATTACCCCCAGACAGTCCCTTTTGCCCCTTCCTAGACAGTCCCTGTCTGTTTACCCCCATAGGTAACCATTGCTGTGTGTATGTTTTTTTTTCTACCATAGATCAGTTTTAAGATTCATAGATCAGATTCAAGAACTCAAGTGGAATTGTACAGGATGTACTCTGTTGTGTCCTGTTTCTTTCACTCAATCTGTCTTTAAGGCTCATCCATGCTGTTGCTTGTATCAGTAATTTGTTCTTTTTTATTGCTGTGTAGTATTCCATTGTAAGACTCTGCTGTGCTTTGTTTATTCATTTTCTTGTTGAGGGACACCTGAGTTATTTCCAGTTTGGGGCTATTATGAAAACATTCCTTAGGAATATTCTTGTACGAATGGACATATCTTTTATTTCTCTTGAGTAGATACATGGACTTGGTATTGTAGGGTCAAGGAGTGTGTATGTTTTGTTTCATAAGAAATTACCAGACCCTTTATCCCAAGTGGTTGTAGGTGATTAACTTCTTAAGATGATCATTTATTGTGCAGCTAATATGGTCCTGTGGTCCAAACTTAAAATTCAGTAATGAAAATGCCCTCCATCTACTACCTACCCCTTCTTCCCAGTTTCCCATTTCTCATTTCTCCAATAGGTAGGTAAATGGTCTTCTTTCCTTTATCCTAGATGTTTTTATACATCTAGAATCCTACAAATAGCTCATATTATATACGCATTTTCTACACTTTGCTTTCTAAGAGATTTAAGTTTGAGTTATCTCATCTATGGGACTTACTATATAATATATAGTACCTAAACCTGACTAGCTCTGTGTGGATTCTAATTAGACAATTCATAAAACCTTGGATCACTCATATACTTTTTATGCTAATGTGTTAGAGTAGGGATGTTAAATTTTCCAGCTGTTAGGACTTGAATTGGTTAATAATACCTTTAAGGAGAGAATTTTAACCTCAGATCTTTTGAACTAAGCAGGTCTGCAACCTTGTTTCTGCACCCCAGAAAGTAAGACTTAAGCTGCAGTCCAATTCCTTTCCATAGTCACACTTTTAAAAGTTGTGGTTTTTACGTACTCATAATCAGTAAGTTCAATCTGTCCCAGAACACCTTGACCTTGATATGTTTTCTACATATAATACTCGCTTTTATTAAAATGAGTACAGCTAATTGACTAATCTACCAGAGTTGCAACTAATATCTCACATAATGCAATAACATCTATCTAATGCTCATATGAGAGCTTCATGCCACATGTAACACCACTATACAGATGTAGGAGGGATATAGCGAGGGAGTTGACTTAAAAAATGCCTCAAGTGTGCTACTTTTTGTGAATATCTACTAGGCATTTTTATTGTTACAGTTATCAATTGTAGTTACAAAAACATATGCAAAACATTTACAAAATGACAGCAGAAATGTGCTCTATGTAAAGCCCACTGGTTTACACAGGTACATCAATGATATAACTTGGCTGCTTCTGCTTATCACTGGAAGGAATTACCGTATTTGCCGGCGTATAAGACGATTTTTTGGCCCTGAAAAATATGCCTCCAAGTGGGGGGTCATCTTATATGCCAGGTACACTTCAGATAGACTGCCCATAGTGCTTGCCCCGTGCCATAGTGGCCTCCCGATGCCCGCCCACTTCATTCCACATACCGTTCAGGCATCAGCAGCGCTGCTGGGTGTATGCTCGGCTGTTATGCGATTTTGCTGTTATGCGATTTTACCACACTCGCAAAATCGCACACAGCCGACCATACACCCAGTATGATAGCGCAAAATCGCGAATCGCGATTTATGTATGTTTGATTACATACAGCCTTGTGACAGTTTTCCTGCATGTCATAAGCATTTGAATATAAATTAAAATGTTGAAATCAAATCTGATATTGTTTTACCTTTTATTTGGTGTGTGGAAGGTGTGCGGAAGAGGGGGTAGTCTTATACGGCGAGTATATAACAAACTCTGTATTTTGAGTGGAAATGTTAGGGGGTCATCTTATACGCCCAGTCGTCTTATACGCCGGCAAATACGGTAAAGTGTCTTTAAAAAGACGGCAAACTTTGAGCCTCTCCTGAAACTAAGGAGAAAAGTGCAACTGTCTCATGGCTGTGTGACCTCGGCAAGTTGTTCCAGTCTCTGAACCTCAGTTTGCCATCACTCAAGTGAGGAGAGAGCAGAGCAGCATTTTAGGGTTATTGTGAGGGCTAAATGAGACAGTGTACACCAGTGCCTGCTTCAGGGTTTGGCACCAATATCAGTCTTCTGCTTGTATTGGCATAAAACTCAGATAAGTTGTGAGAAAAAGGAGAAGACTTTTGGTTGACAGAAAACAAAGTGTTATCTGCTTTCTCCTAAACTATGTAAACCGTATAATTCATGTTAGAACCATAGGTGTGGTATTAGAGATATTAATTATGAGTTGAGCATTTGGCCCATTTGTAATAAATACCTTTCAAGCTCACACTTTGAGAACCAATTCTTAGGGACTCAAAAGAAATGCAAGGGCAGATTGGGCCTTACAACTTAAAATTAATCACTTGAGGCAGAGAGCTGTAAAATACAGCAGAGGACTTAGGTCTCTTGATTTTCCAAAAGTGTTGCTCTTTCCAGCTGGGCCAGCTGTGGTGGTGGAAAGAAAGGTTACTGAATTTTGGATCAGAAATCCCCAGCTTAAGACCAACCAAGTTCAGGCACTTTCTATAGATGTGACTTTGCAGAAGTAACTTCACCTCCAAGTACCTCTGTTTCCTCATGTATAAGTGGAAATAATGAGCCTTCTCAGGGGTCTGTTATTAAAGTTAAATGAATTAAGTGTGGAGGTGTTTTAAAATTTTGTAAAAAACAACAACAGTGAATCAAGTTTGAAATTATATCAAAATAAAGAATTACTAAACAACAATAATAACAAAAACACCCAGGAAAGAAAGAATAGAAACTTAGCGATCTGGAGTTCTAAGTAAAGAACAGGACAGTCCCATCGAATTGTTGCTGAATCAGTCTTTACGTCACTCTGTTTAATATTCATCTTCCAGAGAGAGTTCATTTAGTCTGGCCTACTTCAGGTGCTCTCGCCTTCAGCAGGGGATGGTGGGCACCTTGGTTGAGGTCCGTCCCATCAGATTGTATCTGAGAGGGATAGTTCCTGCAGAGCAAAATCAGGATGCAATTGCAAGGAAAAGGGGGGAAATGGATGCTGGGCCGGCATAAGCATCATGCATCCTCTATGTGCTCATAAGAATTTTATAATTCTTATGCAGAATTATATGATTATATTAGATGCAAAAGAGAGTACTTTTAAGAATCAGTAATGGCTAATGTAATTGGGAATTCAGTTTGCAACATTTCATTGAACTGTGTACCTACAATGCATGAACTTTTCAATATGAATAGTATACTTAAAATTTTAAAAGCTGAGTAACTTTTGCCATGTTTCATATTCCCATGTAGATATTACATCGTGAATACTCTAAGAGCTATCAGATCATGCTAATGTGTATAACCTACCTGAACATTCATTTTTATTTCTGTGTGCACTTAGCCTTCCCCAGCTCCTATAAAGAGGTCAAGATATTCTGTCAGTTCTGTTAAGATTTTATTATGGTCCTCTTTAAATAAGCCAGAGAATATATTTCTTGACTTGAAGGACACTCTTCATAGTGGTCATTTTTATTAGATAATTTTCCGAGTCTGGGGATAACTTTAAACTATTTTATAAAGATTTCTAAGGTAGCTGGTATTTTTACCTCCTCAACTTGCTGCTGTTTTCTTATCTAAACCACAAAATCCTACAAAAGACCTATTTCACTCCAAAATTTTAGGTAAAATTGGATTAAAGAAAGAACACCATGGATATCTTAACTCCGTTTGTAGGAATGCTATTTCACCACTTGGTTGTTTTGTTTAAATGCATCTAGTGCATATGCTGAGAACATGTGACCCCAGAGAAGTCTTACTGAGAAGGTCAGAGACGGGCCAGTGTAGATGCAACTGGACCTTTAATTTGGTGTACAAAATACAGTTTATATAAATGAACACATAGTGGTTGCTTCTTTATACTTTTTAAGAAAAATGATGTTTTTCGGTTTTGTTTTGGGTAGATTCTGCCGTTCCTGTATAGCTACCAGTCTAAAGAACAATAAGTGGACCTGTCCTTATTGCCGAGCGTATCTTCCATCAGAAGGAGTTCCAGCAACGGATGTAGCCAAAAGAATGAAATCAGAATACCAGAAGTGCACTGAGTGTGACACACCGGTGAGTGACCCTGCTGAGCTCACAGTGACCATCTTAGCCTGCTGAGAACATGGTTATGCAACTAATCATTTCATCTACGCCTTTGACCTCATCCTATCCTGACTTCCTAAAGTTTATTGTCTCAGCCTTTCTCCAATTTCATTTGTGTAGGCTGCAGGGAAATGGTCACCTGACTCTACTATCACCTAATTTTTCAAACAAGTGCTTTCATCGACCACCTCCATTTCCTTTCTTCCCATGACTCCCCTGCCCCCCTGTTAAATTGCCTCCGTTTCTGCTACTCTATTGCAGCCCAGCAATGAATGGCTTTATTATCAAATCCAGCGGCATAACTGCACCTATGTTCTCCTGGACGTTGCAGTATTTATCTTTCTTGCTCACTTCCTCTTTGTTGCAGTTTTTGTCCTTTGCTTCTGTGCTAGCCTGGTTAGATCATGTGAGGTTTTGGAGCCCATGCAAAAGATTCTAGATTTTATCCTACATGCAATAATGAGTCATAGAAAAAAATGTGAGCTTTTGATCAGGTTTATATTTTTAAGATATCATGCTAGCATGTCCATGGACAGTGATTTGGAGGGGGCAAGAAAAGAGCAGGATTGGTGAGGCCACTTAGGTGGCTATTAGGGTGGATCAGGCAACGAAGTTGGATTAGGGTGATAACATTAGGTATGAAATAAGAGGTGTTTTCAAGGTGTATTTAGGAAAGAGAATAAAAGAAAATTGGTAATTGACTGGTAGTGGGTGAGTGAGAGTAAAGTGTGAAAAAGGCCTGCTGAGGTTTCTAACGTGAGGTAGGTGAAGGTGTTAATAGGGGCAGCAGGTTTGTACAAGAATTCACAGAGTTAAATTATAGATATGTTAAGTTTGAAATGATGAAGGGGGATGTTTAAATATACATACCAGTTTAGAGATCAAAAGAGAGATTATGTACTGAAGATCTAAATTTCTATAGAGAACCTTTCTTGATTGTTAATCTAAATTATAGCTTGTTATAATTTCTCTTAGCACTCTGTATTCCCTTTATAGCACAGATCATCATTTCTAATTATGCTTTTATGATTTTTTAAATTTAATGTCAATATCCCCACCAGATTTAAGTTCCATGAGGGTAAGGACTGGGTCTGTTTTATTGGCAACTGTGTACCCAGAACTTTGAAAAGTGACTGGCATGTAGTAAGTGCATAATGTGTTTTTTTTAACATATATATATATATATATATAAGACTCAATAATTTATTTATGGCTGTGACTATAGAATTTATGCATGGCCTTTGGAGTCAGACATCCTGGGTTCAAACACTAATTCTCTCACTTATTTTTTGTGCTTTGGGGCAAGTTTTTAATCTAAGTTTTTGTTACCCTCTTTGGAAAAGGAGGAAAAAGGGAGTGTTTGTGTCACAGGATGATTTTAAAGGTAAATAATAAAGCATATGTGGCTTTTAGCCTGGTCTGGAACATAGGAAATGCTCAAAACCAATAGTTTTTCACATTCATCATGATAGATTATTGCTTATTTTTACTTTCATATTTTTGTCATCCCATAAAATTTAATGTGCACAAAACCTAACTCGGGATATTATTTCATCACCCAGTTCTTGATCACACCTTTGGTGTCTATCAGAAACAAGAACGTTTTCTCTGTTATCCTCGGTGGAAATCATCCCATTTCTGAGTATTCACAAATATTTTGTTTTCCTTTGAGATATTTCTTGTATGTATCTCTACCATTTTATGTGATTCCTCTTGCCAGGAATTCTGTTCTGCCATTCCTTCTATAGCCATTTTAGACTCTACTTACTCTTCAGAGTCCAGAACAGATCTCTGTTCCATGAGGCCTGGCCTTCATATTCCAGTCCCCAGTATCAAACAGTTTCCTATCTACTGGTCTACATATCTTTTATTTTTCCCTCCATTAAAAGTACCTTTAGGGCCGACCGAGTGGCACGTTGGTTAAGAGTTGGCTTGGGACGCCAGCTCTGAGCGGCAGGGCCCCGGTTCGGATCCCACATGAGGGCCAGTGACACTGCCTTCTACAGCTAAGATGGTGAACAACAGCTTGACCTGGAGCTGGGCTGCCATGAGTGGCTGGCAGCCAGCGTGAGCTGCCAAGAGCCGCCGTGAGCGGCCTTTTTCAGAGGCCCAGCAACCAATCTGCCTCACCCAGAAGAGCGCAATGTGGAAGCGACGTCCTCCACAACTAGACTGAACAAAAGGACAGCAACTTGTCTGTTCCCCTCCCCCAGTTCCCCAATAAAATCTTTACCAAAAAAAAAAGTACCTTTAGAGCAAGCACAGTGGTTTATGTTTCTTCTGTCATCTCTTACAATGTCTCACAGAATTTTGTCTCTAGAGTAGATACTATATGAATTTATCAATTCATTTGCCAGTCTATAGTCCCCAAATTGCTAACTTGTACGAGGAGTGCTTCTCTTTGTTGATCAACTAATACAAAGAAGAAGAAAAACTTTTAACAAAAGTGGTAAAGAGATGAGAGAGCACTCATGTGCAAAGTTGGGTGTTAAAGATTGTATAACAGTCTGTGCTAAGACCGCTACCTAGATCAGTTTTAGCTTTTACATCTTTTAGATGGATATTTGTAAAGCAAGGATTTGCTTGCACATCTCCACTTGCTTTTATTTTTGGTCTTTTGTTCAGCGGTTCTAACCGTTTCCTTGACATGGTCGATTTCACGTTTGAGGTTTAACTTCCGTAGCGTGGGCAAAATGAAGCAGCGTGGGTCAGCCACCTTGCCACAGCTGTAAAAGCTTCCTTTAGTACAAGATCTTATCAGAGTTTCTAATGAAACATTGAGTAGAATATGCGTTATTTAGCAACGGATGCCTCATGGTTAGGGTCTCTGAATGTATATCTGGGGGAACAAGGGCTCTTTATTTGGCTTTGATAAAAATGGACTGTAAGAGCTGTCTTTTATGTGTGCCCTTAATGGGGCCATTAAGTATACTATGTATTGCGAATTCATGTGATACTACTAGATATATTATGAAACCACGGCATTCATATCTTTCCCTGAGGCACAGGGTTTCTTTTTACTTACTATGGACATTTCTAAAATCCATCCATTTATTATTCTCTTTGTTTTCCTTTCTTTCTGTCTATTTGTTTTATTCTTTCTCCCTTTCTTCCCTCTTTCTCTTTCCTCTCCCCTTTTTCTTTCCTTCTTCCTTCTTTCTAGCGCCGATTTAGATAATGCCATCCTCAAAAAAATAAATTGAAGTTAATACACGTCTTTCCACTTTAAAAAACATGCTTTCTAAAAGAACAAAATTCAAGAACTTATCATTCAGCCTTCAAAGTATTAGAGAAGTTTAAAAATAGTGTTATTCTTGATAATGCCTTAACTTTTGTTGTACTGTTATCATGAATGCATTCTTTTAAATCACTGACCCCACACAATGACCTTATTTGAAATAATGAAACTAATAAAGCTGATCACATAAGGCTTCGTTGAGCCCCTTTTCAACAGAGAGTTTATTTTGAATTTGCTTTTATATAGGTTTGCCTCAGCGAAATGAGGGCACACATAAGAACTTGTCAGAAGTACATAGATAAGTATGGACCACTACAAGAACTTGGGGAGACAGCAACAAGGTTTGTTTCAATACAGTATAGTTTAGTGCTGAATTTGATATGTCTATAAAGAATTTAATGGGCTGGAAAGTTTAACATTTTTATTGTGAAAATATGCATGGAGCTATGCTTAGGCTCTTAACCATAATACCTGCTATTGGTAATCATTTGTTAATAGCAATGATTATTATAAAAGAATGTTGCTCTCTCTTCTTTAAAACCTTTGCACAAGGGGAACCACCTAAACACTGGAGGAGAGATTAGGGAAACATCCTCAGACAAGTGTGTATTAAGGAAGAGCCAAAAATAGAATGCAGAACCATTCATTTCTGCTAGGCTCTGTTTTCCGACTAGTAGATTCCTGAAGTAGATCATGATGAAGAGGTTATTCATCTTTACTTTTCCATCACCGCTGCTCAGTTCCCCAGCTAATTCCCTCTGATTTTGCTGGTCTTTTTAGAAGGTAGGGAGCAACATCTTGGTATATATTCTAACTAGGAAGTGCAGGCCTGGAGCAGGCATCCTGAATTCTATACCTTTTTGATAGATAATTTTATATGGGGATGGAGGAAAGATGAAGGTGACTAGTAGGTATAATGGAGGATATTGATCATTAACTAGTTTTTTTTCTTTAAAAAAAGAAAAGAAATCTGAGTCATTATTATCCTGATGGCCAGAGTTTGGAGTCTCTCTCTACTGAAGAAAAAGAAATGATTTGTGTTCTTCTGGGTAGGCTGATGGCTTTGAAATAATTAAATCTGGTTATAAACTCAGTTATCCAATAGTGGTATTCAGTAGGAGAGTGATTTCTTTCTCTTTCCTGAAGGAAAACGTTAGTTCTTATTTTAAGAAAATGCACTCAAATATTGCTTAATTTTCTTAACCCAGAAGTCTAAATGATCACCCCCTTCCCTTTGTTTTACTAGAAATTGCTTTGCAAATGTACGTGTTTTGTGAGATTAGGTTTATACCTAGGCATTATAAATTTTAAATGAGTATTTTAGCTCTAAGCAGTGTATGGATTCTGTTAGATTGGCCACAAGGAAGGACCAGTAGGAAGGAGGAAGGGTAACAAATGGGTTAAGAAAGTGTGTGGATTTGATTGCAAGGTTGATAGGCTTTACGAGAAATGTAAAATATATGAAAGCTAATTTAAATCCTAATTTCTTCTGCTAGCTAAAATTAAATAATAAAGAATTAAAATAACAGAAAATGAGAAGAGTCGGTGATTGATTAATCAGTCTTACAGGATAGATTAAGATTTGCATTTAAGATAGAAATCTTTGCTTTATAGAAGAACTTACTACACGATTCAAATTTTTTAATTTCTTGTGCAGGGAGCTTATCTAGAGTACAAGTCTTGGGGAACAGGAAGTTATATCTATATAATAGAAAGTGAGCAATAAATTCCAAGCCTCCCTATTGTCTCTAAGAATTTAAAGCAGCACTGTCCAATAGAAATAGAATACAAAAAAAAAAAAGAAATAGAATACAGACGACATATGTAATTTTGAATTTTCTAGTAGTCATACTAAAAGAGTAAATCAAAAGAAACAAGCAAAATCAATTTTTGACATATTTTATTTAACCAAATATAGCCAAAATATTATAATTTGACCATGTAATCAGTATAACAATTATTGAGATATTTTACATTTTTTATATTAAGCCTTTGAAATTCAGTATGTATTTTATACTTCAGCATCTTTCAGTTTGGACTAGCTGTATTTCAAGTACCCAACAGACATATATGGCTGATGGTTACCATATTGGACAGCACAGATATAAAGGTCAAATACTCCTAGGTGTAAGGATTTAACAGGGTAGTTGTAGGTCATTTTTCATTCTTCAATGGATACTAATTATGAGAGTTGACACTTGTAGCTGTATATGGTAGTGGATTTGGAGACCAAACAACACCCAAATCAAAATTAGGAAAGGGAGAATGTAAAAGTGACAGGAAAAGTAACCCAGGGACAGCTGGGTGGACTGATCCTCAGTTTCTCAGTTAAGGTGTGCTCAATTACACTTCTCTTCCGAAGAGAATAAAGTGCTTCAAGTGTACTATAATTGTTTCTCTACCCTGACCCCATGAGGATATGCATTTACATTTCTCATGAGAAAACATTTAGGTACCAAGACCATTATCAAGATAGGAAAAATAATATCAAATCAGAAAAAAAGAGGACTGGATTCTATTTTTTACTTCTAGGTAACTGACTACTGTCTAATTGCCAACAATTTTAGTAATATTTGTATTCTGTGCATTTTCAGGTGTGTATGTCCATTTTGTCAGAGGGAACTGGATGAAGACAACTTGCTGGATCATTGTGTTACTCATCACAGATCAGAAAGGAGACTTGTGGTAAGGACTTTTGTTGTTATACTAGTGGTGCCAAAAAAAGTGTATACAAGTGGACACTTTGGTCAACGTTGCTCAAGCAGTAGTTCGCCGTAATCAGAAGTGCCTGGACTCTGATGGTAACCACTTTGAGCACCTCTTGTAATTGCAGAAATCAAATGTGACTTGTATTCATCTTTTGTTATCTGTATACATTAATACAATTTTAATGGTTTTTTTCCTTTCTTAAAATGTGTATACATTTTTTTGGTACCCTCTGTATATTTCTGCAATATCTAAAGTCAATGTACATTGGAAAATCCATTTGATAGCTTCTATTTATAGATATAAAAGATAATTTATGTCAAGGTAATGGTAATTCTATGACATTAACAAACAATATGTGAAAGTGTTGAATTGGAACTGATAGAATTACTAATGTGCAATCATTCATTTATGAAATTAGACAACATTATCTCTTACAGATAATCATGGGCATAATCAACTAAGAAGATCCAAAATGCACAGTTAAGATCTAACTTTAGTATATTAGCTATGGTCATGTCCTAAGTTAAAAACATTTTTTAATAATGCAAATAGAGTTGTCATAAAAATACACTAGAAGTGAAAAGTAGAACATCATTCAACTGCATTAATCACACTGTTATTTTATTTCTTAGTCTGGATATTTATCCATATACTTGTACATTAAATATGTGCATTACTCATCATTTCCTAGATCCATAGTGAATGCTGCCTTTTTTTTTTTCAACCTGACGTTTTCATTGTACTTTGCAATGTGGCTTTTATACTTTTATTTCTGTATAGTTGTGAGGTAAAACAGGGTGATGATGGATATATCATCATTTAGTTAGCCATTTTACTATTTTTGAACACTTGAATTAATTGCCAGTTTTTATAATTTGAATTCACTTATACATTTAAACTTCTCCTTTTATTGGATTTTTTTCCTAGGTGGAAATATCTTAGATTGATATTTCTGGGACCAAGAGTGCAAACTTTTTAATAACTCTTGAAATGCACTTATAAAATATATTCCAAAAAGTTTGAGTCAATTTATATTTGATTCAGCAATTAATGAATAAACCACTTTCAACTTAACTTGTCTAAGATTGTATACATTTATTTTTAAATTACCCAGGCTTAACAGATATAAAATTATATCTTGAAGATTATTTAGAATTTTAGTTTAGGCATATATTACACATGTATATATATATGTGTGTATGTGCATATGTGTGTGTATACATATGTATGTATATGTATATATACACACAAATGTGTGTATATATGTTGTTTTAATATATATGAGTTTTGGTGTTCTTTTTTTTTTAATTTGGGTCTTAGGTGTTGTTTTTTCCCGCCCATAAAATCCTTTCAGAAAATGGATCAGATTGAAATATATTAGATAGATAGGTGGATGGATGGATGGATGGATGGATGGATAGATAGATAGATATAAATAATCGTCACAACAATTCTGGGATAGGTGTATTATTATCCCCATTTTACAAATGATAAACTGAGGCTCAGAGAGGTTAAGTAAGTCTTATAAGGTCACACAGCTGGTAAGCCACAATTTGAACACAGTAGTTTAGCTCCAAGGCCTACATGGTGAACCCCTGTGCTCTACTAGCAAGTTCATGAGAAAAGCCACACAGTGCAATCAAAGATAGTTGTTATTGATCCTAAAGGTCTATTGGTTTGGTTCTTGAAATGGCTAGCTAGGAACTTGAGACATGTTGGGGGCGTAGGGGTGATTGTTATGGGCTTTCCCTGCTCTAGTTGCTCTGTGGGAGGAACTAGACTAAGGAGTTGTTTTATGATAGGTCCCTGGGGAGCTAGAGGAAGTTAGAAGAAAGCATTGGGGTGGCATAATAATGGCTATCATTTACTGAGTTCTAAGTGTGTCCTTTTTCCTCCTAGCAATGCTAGAAAGGTATTATTGACAGAGCCTGAGCCCTGACCAGTAACGCCCAGGGTGCTGCTCCGACTGGAGGAACCCCAGACACTCTGGACCATGGGCTGCATCATCGCAGCAATCTACAGCAGACCACATACTGGTACCGCCGTTGGTACTGTATACCAGCTCCAGCAGAAATCCAGTCCATGTGCTTGCTGCACAGTTTGGCTATCAGGTTGAAGGTGGTCCATGGTGGCTTGGTCTTCCATGATTAGGTCATTGAAGAAAGCCAACCTGAGGACAGAAATAAACTAGGAATGGTAGGGTCAGATTGCCCATGGACTTTAGTAGTTAAAAGCCGAGACTTTGGAGGAGAAAAGCTTTGGTGCAAATCCCATTAACCTCTCTGCCTCTGTTTCATTTGTAAAATGAGGATAGCGGGGTAGCAGTAAATGAGTCAGGCATATGAAGGAAGCATTCTGTCACATGGTGTTCAACCCATGAATAAAAGAGGGTGGTGGGATAACGGTGCGTTACTACCACTTTTGCAACTGTATGTAAAATCAAAGCTAGCGGAGATTTCTCAGAGGAAGCCATGTATTCTCACAGTTGGGGAACCCAGGCTGGGATGGGTGGGGAAGCTCTAGTGGTAACATTTTATAAGACCAGGGTGTTATCACGACCTTGAGGCAGGGGCAGATGATTCAGAAGGTCCATGATCCTGTAATACACTAGGGCCGTCAAGAGATGGTCGCTGGGACAGAAGACCTTTAGGTTTCCTGTTAGTGTTTCATTCTTGAGTAAGAGTTCAAGACACATGTCGCTGAAGGATCTAGAGCTACTAGAAGTCAGATGTATGCTGTGGTGATGGAAAGGCTGGAGGTGGATACTGTGACGTGGCAGAGGTTCACGTGCTTAGGGATCCCCAATGGGGACACCCAAAAGGTGAAACACCCTAGTAGAAGTGCTGGGTTAAGCTGGTAGAAGGAGGCTTAAGTCCAAGGCTGATTCTGGACTGGTGTGGAAGTTAGCAAGGAAATGTTGCTTTAAAGGACTTGATTGTAGGTTTTGTCTACAGAGAAGATCAGTGATGTCATCAGACTTACCGGGTGTAAGAGGTTGCATGGCAGTTAGAAACTTGGGCAAATGATTCTGCCTTCCAGAAATAATTAGATAATTCAGAGATCAAACTATAAGCAACTAATTTTCTCTTTCTGAGTTGCTCAAAACTGGGTGGTAGCTTTTGAACATCGGGGAATTTTGACTTTTTTCATATGCACCATAAAAGCCAATAGCTCCGTTTTGTCATACAGTAATTTTATTCTGCTATGTTTAATTTTTTTGAAAAATTATATCTGTGGAATGTTAGACTCAAAGGAGGCAAATGACACAAACAGCATGCTTCCATTTGACTTCTGAGACCACTTGAGAGAAATTTGGCGTTTTATCTTGTAAAGGGAAAATATTTTAGCAAGAACCGTACTTTCTGGCTAGGCTGTCTGCCCAGAGTGCTCTTTCTTTCACTGGCTGGCTCTTATTTATCTTTTGAGCTCAGCTTAAATCTCACTTCCTCAGGAAGCCTTCTTCGACACCCAAATTAATTTCAGCTCTTGCTTTTCTCCCCTCTTTTTTTCTTATTTACCAGTTTGTAATTGTGTATTCCTTTCATATCTGTCTCTCCCTCTAAATTGTTAGGCTCACGAAGTTATTGAACTTCATTCACTCCTTTGTTCAGCACTCCATGTCTAGTTCTTGGCAGAGAACCTGGTACAGAGTACAATGTAGTGATATGAAAAAAACAGGATATTAAAAAAAAAAAAACCACCCATAATTCCATCCACCCAGGTTCAAAGGCTCTAGTAGTCCTTTATTTTCTGAATCCTTGCTCCAGAGATGCATTTCTGAAGGGAAAGGATGGGACTTCTGTTGTTTGGAATATAAATTGTGGTGTCTCCAGCCTGAGCCACTCGTCTCCACAACAGTTTACTTCCATGGGTATTTAAATATTTGCGACTTAACTGGGCATTGAGGGTGTATGTGCATAAATGTTTTGGGAGGGAGAAAGCTCTTCATTAGATTTGCTTTCAAACTCCTACTATTAGATATGCAATCTAGTACTTTGATTCTGGCTACATATTTGCCTGTAATTATATTCGTGCATTTCTCTTTTCTTTCGGTGTTGAATTCAATAATCTTTCATTTCTTCCCCCAAATGCCATTTGCCATCATAGGAAAAGTGTCCAATAATCAACTGAGTTGCTGTAGAGGTTCATCTAAACCACAGACTTAGATGAATGTCCCTTGTGGAAGCTCCAAAGGATTAGATCCTTTGCATCTTTAAATATTTGTAACATAACTGCACTGTCTTCCAACTTTTGTACTCTTAGAATTCATCTTCCGATTTCAGGTCTTGACAGAATATGCTCTTCATTAAAGGTCATTAGATGATGACCTAATATGCTATTAGATGACATATATAGACAGTACTTGGCAACTGAAAGCCCTGTAAAATATAATGTTGCATGGCATCTATGTTTTTAGAACCTAACAAGAGAGTACCAGAAAAAAAATAAAATTCTCCCATCCAGTTTTTCTATTCTTTATTAAATCAGTCATGCACGGACTTTAGAAACAGAATTCAACTTTTACAGTATAAAATATACCTCATTCACGAGGGGTTTCAAGGACCTATACTGAGAAAGATATTCTTTATGGGATCCCCTGTCACAGTACAAAAATGGTAGGAAATCAAGGTTTGGTGAACTGGAAGGTCGACTCTCCCTGTTAGTTGTGTTTTTCAGCAATATTACCCCTATTCTTAATGGGATAAGGGAGGGGTATCATTTTGAGGAACCTGGTAAGGACTGGCTCAGAAAGACTGGCATGGGGATGGAATGGCTTAGCTCCGTGGAGCAGCACCACCTCCCTTCTGTGTCTTTGGTATTTGGCGTGAGGGGTTTTGGGAATCATGTCCTGATATACCCACATTAGATGCTCACATCTAGGATGCTAATAATCAAAGGTCACATGTTCCTGTGCAGATTTGTGTACATTTTATGGATTCTCAGAAGCCCTTACATTGGCAATTCTCAACCTTTTCTCTGTCCCAGTACACCTAAAGGATATGATGCTAAACTAAGTCATTCTTACTTTCCTGTTAGCAACAGTGATTCCTGAGGGTGGCCGAGAATCCCCCAGGGACAGAAGGTGGTTGTATCAGAATTGAAGAAAGAAGGGGAGTTATATAGTAGAAAGGGGGCTCTCGTCTGATTCTGTGTATGAACTTAGTACCCCCCAGTTCTTCCCCTATCCCTTACTGGCCCAATTACTCTGTTATATGAGCGGATGTGAAGTAGGAGAATTTTTCCTTCTTTTTAGAATTCCCCTGCTTTTTCCCACATTGACTCCTCTGCCTGTGATGCTCCTCCCCTGACAGGATCGGCTCATTTTTCAAGGCTCATTTCAGTTACCAGCAACTCAGAATCCTTTCCTGATTCCCTAGGCAAAATTAATGATTCCTTTTTCAGGTCTTGCACAGTTGTATGTTCATATCTTGAATATAGAACTTGCTGTGCTGTATTGAAAGTACCTGTTTAAGTGATAATAATAGTAGCCATTTATTATTAGTGCCAAGGACTGAGCTAATATAACGACAGCTTCATTATGTTAAGTGACATGTTATTTTAAATCTACCAACAGCCCTACAGAACAGAAATAATTCTCAATTTTTATAGGTTAAGATTAATTCCTGGCCAAGTTTAAGTCCGTGAGAGGCTGGGATGAAATTGGAAACTATTTTCCAGATACTGGGAATGCAAGGATGAATGGGATGCATGTAGTTTCTTCCCTCAGGGAACCCCAACTCCTCAAGGACAGGGATCAAATAGTAGTAAGTATATGGCATTTATTAAGTGCCTACTATGTACCTGGCACATTAAGGACATTATTCTAAACATAATAACTACTCTAACCAGGTAGGTGGTGGTATCTCTATTTCGCAGAAGAGGGGACTTAAGGCTGAAGGTCCGACAGCTAGTACGAGCTGGTGCTAGGATTTGAAC